AAAGCAATTCTTTTGAAGCCATACCCCATTAAACCCTATCAACTCTAATCCTCCATTGCATTTTCGCACAAAGTTCCACACAAAGTGCATTTTCCATCCCCCAAAATCAGGGGACAGGAGCCGCCCAGTCTACCGTCCTACACAATTGCCCTTTGGCTGCGTCTGCAACCGTCACGCCCCGTTACCGCATCTCCAAAGGGTGGAGTAGAGGAGACAGACGTGGGCACGGGTAAATGGGTGGATGGAGAGCGTGGACGGGAACACGGGGATGTAACAATAGCACACAATTTCAGGCTTCATTGTAATTCTGCTCTCATCTCCGTCCCTTGTGACAAGCGGCGAGTGGCGCTGGATTCTAATCATTCCTGTTGTCAGATTGGTACCCCAAGTGAGATTGAGTTGATTGCTTGAACAAATTTGCAAAGTAACGATGCAATTTGCCGCAGGACGCCTGGGGAGGGTTCTGGCCGTTTGGTTGGTGGGATTTGTCGAGGGACTCGCGAGAGACCAGGCCGGGAAGCTGTTGTCTTCTCAGAGAGACTTCGGTCTGCAAGTAAATTACGTTCACTCTTGATCCAACAAACGCTTTTAAATCTGCAGCTAAACAATAAATCTTTCTTTTTTTAAATTTTTGCATGATTACTGAAAGTTAAATGAGTTTATTTATACCACTCTCAAGTCTTTGCTTTGTCCCAAGGTGAGAAAATCCACCAAGCACCTGCTCACTAATGAAGTGTTTTTAGTTTGTTACCTTATATCGCCATGTTGCCATGCTATTTCTTGGCCGAGTAAAGATAAATCAAATGGTTCCTGTGTTTATCAAAGAGCCTTAGAGATTGTGGTTACATGGATTGTGTTACCTGCCAGGCTGAAGTACACCAACTGTCTCTTTGCTGTTGCTTCATACATGTTGTACAAGCATGCGAGTGGCATGAGTCTTCTCATCTGACTCTTGACAAGAAAGCAAATCTCACAAAATGTTTAACTGCTCATTTAAAAGCAGAAAATATGTGCGTGTAATGGTCTGTAATGTGAAATGGGGAAACATTCACTCTGTTGTATCTGAGATAACCTCTGAGAGATGTTTTATCTTGGTGCATAATGAAACAGTCATTTTCAACTAACTCAAATCATTGAACATTAAACCCTTGACAAACTCCAATCATCACGGAATGAAAACATAAATTGGATGTCTGTCATCTCAAGTTTAATGAATCCACATCACACACGACGCTGCGCCGGCCCTAAAGACTATTCATTACCGCACAGCAGTTGCTGTTTTTCGCAGCAATTATTTTATCATTGAATTGACAAATATGAATAGAAATGACTGCTAGAAGGAGGAGATTCGGCCACGGTGCGCCTGAGAACAGTCGTGTTGACACCTTGACGGCATTTCCATTTATGTACAGGTTCATAAGAAAGTGACTGTTGGAAATATCATTTGAGTATTTGCCGGCAAATTGATAATGTAAGAAAACTGCAGAAAGAATGTTTGTAGTCAAAGATGTTTGCTGTTTTGAGCAACATGTCTGCTAGTTGAAAGAGCCACACGTTATTAAAACATCTCAACATTCCCTTGTTTGCGTCGCCCTTTTCTAGGGTTTTATAATTATGTTTTGTCTATACACTTCTTCTAGTTCTAGTTTGTATTAATTGTTTAATTGTTGCAAAACATTAGATAATGTGTCATGTTCAATAATGTGTTATACATCAGGGGCATTTTACTTTTAACAATTTGAACAAATGTTGCTGAATAATTTTCACTTTTCCGAAATTGTTTTGTCATTTTACTAAAAATACTTGTAATTTTCCTAAAGCAGAGCCAATAATATTATTATTAATAATGATAATGAATTAGATCTTTAACGTATACCAAAGCACATTACCCAGACATCATTACAATATTTGGCATCTCACATTTTCCCCAATTCAGAGCAGTAAGCAATATAGACGTCACATTTGTACCAATGCAAACTCATTTGCTTGCAAACCTCTTTCATTCCGCACTTTCACATATGTACGACTCTCACCTGCTACTGAGTACTTTTAAACTTCCGACCATGCAAAGGAGCAAAACACCTCCCTGCTTCCTGCTAATAATGGTCCTACCGCATGCAGCTCGTGAGTTAATTGTTCGGTGCGTTTGGTTTGTGTAGACATTGCCGAGCATCACCACACGCTGCGTGCTACGGGACAGCAGAGGCGGTGGAGGCAGTGCTTCCTCTCACGTCGCTGTGTGCGCTGAGCTGCTACTTAACTGTCCCTGAGCTGCAGGAATCGCTTGAGGACCACTGGAGAAATTATTATCCAGACACCAGCGGGCTGCCGGCTGCTCCCACTGGCAAAGCAATCACTGTGTTATTTGGGAGAGAATGAATTGGTGAAAATGTTAAGATTAGACCACTTAATCCCAAAATGAGTCGCTCAGGGCGTTGATAGAGATCACACCAACATTTGGGTCTTGCATTTGTCTGGTTTGGCTTATCCTCCAACACCGCACTCCATGGTGTTTCATTGCATCTCATTATTCTGAGTTTCGTAGGGCTGCAGAAGCAGTAATGGTCCCTATTGTGATACGGCATAAAAAGAGTTGTCGTCCCCTTCGTTTTTTTCTTTGTAGCTGATCCTGCTTCGGGCCTTCACGCGCGTCCTGGGGCCGTGTTTCATTTGCTGCGGTTCTGAACACGGCTCAGCACTCGGCGGTGTCGTCTCTAAACTACCGAGAAGCTTCTCTAGAAGTGAGTGAAACAAAACAACAACAAAAAAAAGGAGAGAAAGTTGTAACATGTAACCGGTGTTGAAATACAGGCTGCAGAGGATATGAGAGTCCTTGTTCAAAGAGGTGTATTCTTGCAGTGTGGATCAGTCGGAGGATTCTGCACCCTGCAGGGAATCCCATCATCTCTCTCAGACCTTGATACCAGGTTGTAGTCGGAGCTCGCACCCGGCTCTTTTATCTCGCCTGAGATTGGTGATTTGATTGAAGAGCCCAGCAGAGGAGACGCTACTCTTCTCTTCCACTACGAGAGGAAAAGCAATGTTCCACAAGACTACCCATTCATTACTCAAAATAAATCTCCATTAAACAAATGCCATAAACATAATTAGGCTATAGGAATAATTATAATTGTGATTAGTTTCTCCCCGGGCCGACCTATGTAAATCGTGATTGACAGCCAGCAGAAACCGAGCGCATAAATCAGGCTTCAGAGATACACACAATACACTGCAGCACATGAACAAGCATGGGAATACAGAGCAGACAAAGGGATTCGGGGCATGGGGGGCTGTGAACATGCCCCCAATGCACATTCGTAATCAATGCATACAAGACCGTGTCCAGAATAAACCGTCAAATGATGCAATAAATCGCAATGTGCAATATAAAGTACACTCAGTTACAGGAACACATACTAATAAAGCCAGATTTAACAATTATAAAATAAATTCTACCCTTTTCAAGGTTGTGATGGTGCATTTTTGTTGAAGACGTTTGTCTCGTCCTTTTGATATAATCACGGTGGACAAAATATTTAAAGGCCTCTCTGAAACAGCAAAAAAAAGTATAAGAGCAAAGGGCATTCGCTGTATTGGAAGAGGCCACCTGTGTCTCAATTCTGTACCACATCAACAGCACTACTACGCTTCTTTGTCATGAAATGGACTTTTCCAAAAGTCCTCTCTTCTCTTTTTTTTGTCTTGTTTTTCACCTGTGACTTGCTCCTCCTCTTCCTTCCTTTGTACATTGCAATGTGGGATAATAATCAATAGACATTTAGTTGCTCCGTGCAAATACTGTTTTCTGTGTGAAAACATCAGATAATAGCTTAGAATTACTATATAGTGGGATTGGACACACAGTTTACAGCGCTCTTATTATTAAAGTCAGGGAATCTCAGGGGTCCGTGGGCTCTGTCCTCTTGGGACCATTTATGTTTACAAAAAATAAATGAAACACATTTAAGTCAACAAGTATTGGACCAATGCTTTCATCTCCATAGCCAGGCCACACGCATGGCTTGAAATGCAAAAAGGCTTAATAATTATTAAACTTGCATTAAAAGAGACACACTTATGTGGTATTCAATTGCAAGAAAAGATGGCAGGACGTTTTAGAATTATGAGGGATGTAAATTAGCTGCATTATGATGGTATTGATCCCACAGTCGGGAGAATGGACAGTTATAAATTATAATTAACGTCTGGCAGCAGAAACATGTTGTTCCCAGAAATTATCTGGATAATTGATTTCAATGTTATAAAAGGAACCAGGTTTTGGTGATGTGTACCTAATAAACTGACCGACTGCGTGAATGACCCGTCCAGGGCTGCTCCCATTTCACAGCTTGTGCTGTAAACCTGAGCAATATCATGATGAAAGCAGTCGCTTTTGCTTTAAAAAGCACCGCTGGTATGTTTAACACAAGTGATGCAAAAGGGACAGACTATGGCAGTGGATTCGGATCATCTAATTCAGTGAAAGCACAGAAGTCCTGGTCACTTTCTTCAAAAGGAAGCCTTGATCCCCTCCTCCTCATCCTCCAGGATCCCGCTGGCGGGGCAGTGCTGATATTTGTGTCAAAATGGCGAAGCAAATTATAACCAGTCTGCCGCCGCTGTGGATTCCACTTGATGTGCGCCTTTCATCTCCAAAAGCCATCTCTTAGGGAAACAAAAACCAGCCCCTCCCATGCGTTTGAACTCACCAGGTGGGGGCAGCAGTGCTGATATGATTTGAACATTGCTTCTTTTTATATTATTCTCTGGCAGGCGGGTCTGTCAGTACACACGGTGAAACCAGCATCAGCAGGTTTAATGCATAAACTAAAGAGCCAGACAGCTGCCGTGTGGCTTCTTTTACATTTTAATGGAAAAGCTCGGAATGATAGATAAAGCCATTAATAAAAATAAAAAAATCTAGGCTTTCACAACCAGAAAACAAAGGAGACATCTTCAGACTCCTAGAGAGCTTCATGCAACCAAAAACCACTCGCTCATCGGGTATGATATGTTCACATTTATTGTGCAGTGACTTTTATATACATACATTTTATTCCCCTAATTTACATGAACAGAAATAAATTAATCTGCTAAATGTTCTTTAACTCATCTGGGTTTTACAGCAAAATCCCAAGTGACACATGACATGGCAGTAATTTGAGTCAATGTAGACTAACTTTCATTAGTGTTATATATACACACACACACCATACACATATAAAGAAGCAGTTGGTAAGAGTGTTAGTGAGAACTTCTAAAATGTTTAAAACATCCGATAACGGGAGGTTTCTTTAAGAGAGGCCAGTCAGCACAAAGCAGCGTATTCTTTCTTCATCGCTTGGAACGCGCCTCTAAATGTGGGATTAATTCCAATGCATGTTTCAAACGGGGAATATATCTTCCATGGAGACTTCTTTTCAGAAACTATATTTGAATAAATATATGTAGTAATATCCATTTTGTCGAAGAATAAAAAAAGAAACATCCAGAAAATGTAAAAGCCCTGCTAGCAGGTAAATAAATCGAGATTACGTAAAAATGGCTTTAACTAAACCAAATATGTATCATTACGCAGCAGTTAGACACAGCATGATATAGTGGACACAATGTTCTCTGTTATGAAACCACTGTTTCATAGATGCATTCTTGTCCTCTAAACCCAACGTCGTATTTCTTATGCATGTCTATACATTCATTTCACAATATTTGTTAAGAGATTTTGTTGAACTTTGTTTTGTTGAACGTAGCTACCAAAGTCTAAACGAGGGCAAACAAACGCTCTGCAGAGATTCCCAACATTCCCAAGAAATCGTACAAACTGCGTCTTTAACCTTAGAGGTGACTATTATTGTGCTACATACAGTATTTATCACGGACAGACAACTTGGCTAATTAGTGTTTTCTTTATAAAGAAAGGAAATCTAACCAACTAACGTGAATATCATCTTAATTGTGTACACCGTAAGGTGTGGAAACCATAAAAAAAATACATTAAGTGTAGATTTGCCAAAGCTCACACATGTCAAAAGGTGGCCAAGGAAAAAGTAAAAATGTAAACCACTGGAGAAATCATCTCACGGTTTCCAAATACACAAACTGTAAATACAAACATCAACCTGCTCTCATCTTTTCAGTGTGAAGGAACTCGCAGGACGGCTAACTTTCTACTGCTAGATTATGATAAACACCGACACCGACATGCCTTTGAAACACGTAACAACACATCACCTCTAGCCTGCTCTCACCACAACGGAAAAACAGAGACGGAATTTAGAGGATACATTGATGGGTCTCAAGCACTACGCTGCTGCAAGCAGCAAGAACTCTAAGCTATCAAAACATGCAGCTTGTGGTGAGTTTCTACAGTACTATTCAGTAGTTGTGGGTGATAAATGACTGTTAATGGTGTTCAACATGGCTCTCTTGTTCCGTCAGCCTCGCATCCAAATCCAGCCGGACACTCGCATTAAAGTGAAGGAATAAAATCCGGAGGCAGCCGTCGCCTCACCGCACAGGAACATCCGATTATTGCACACTAGCACTGAACTTGCAAATGTTCATGCAGAATGTATGAGGCACGCGCACACACACACACACACATACACTACACTCAGATCAGTGGTTGCTCACTACAGATGTGACAGATGACCTTACAGTTCTTTGGAAGACTAAAATACATCGTCGGGGACAGTCTGGGACGTTCAAATACGGGGCGCCGCTTACAGTTACAACCTAGGGCGATGAGCAGAGAGGTGCAATGGTGTGTTAGATAATCAATATTAGGAGATTTCCCACCAACTGACAAGGACTACGTTGCAGTGCCTTGTTTGAAAGTAGAAGAGAGGGGAAGCGGGGGCGATGATAATGCCGCCCGAGGAAGAAAAGGGAACAGGACCATTTCCGAGAGAGAATCTAGCAACCCCTTTTTCAAGCAAATTCTAAGCGTTTGCATGTAAATATATATTACATCCATATTCAACATTCATGGCATTGTTTCTGTTAAAACACAAAAATAGTTAAGACTCACAGAAAGAATCCCGGCAAAGAAAACAAATGGAGGCCAGGGTTTCATCTGTTTGGAGATTGGAGTTTAAAGTTGGTGTATAAAGTAAAAGCCAAAATAGGAAATAAATGCAATCTATTTTTCCTCACAAACTATTCCACACACACCAGACCAACGGCTAGACAAGCAAAACGGCCGTGAGGCGCAACTGTGGCAGAAAGATGAGGCGGAGGAGTGACATGGAGACGGGTCTGTGGAGACGGACCTCGTGTTTAATGGACTGGGGGCCATCTTCACGCCATCTCACGGGGATTGAGGGCCTGACCTGTAGCTCTTAAAGCTGCCCAGCAGACTCTGCACCCCCTTCTTGACCCGTCGAGCCACGGAGTCAGCCGGGGGAGTGGGCAGGCAGGAGGCCAGGCCGGGCGGACGCGCGTCCAGACATTTCTGGTAACGAAGCTGTGAAAAGAAGACACAAACCGGCAGTCTTTGCTTGTTGAGAAATCACTTTGAAGTCATTTACACCCCCATCTTGTGCGTTTTGTCTGTAGCTCACCATGCACGCCGCCTGTACAGCCTCACTCAGGCTGGCTGCGTTGGGTTCGCACCAAAACATGTGACAGGTGTAATCCTGGGGACCCTCAGCCATGATGAAAGCAAAAGTGTGGACGTCCTTTCCCACCCCCATGAAAGACAGGAAACGCACCCGGCACTCCGACAGCACCTCCTCACTCTGCGGGGAGGAAGAGACACAACGGGGGAAACAATTCACAAAGTTTACTTTTAACACCCACTTTCACATTTTGCTAATTTTGTGAATAAAAACACAGACGTGGCAAAACATGAAAGACACGTTAAACTAATCTCATGCTCCCTGTCCGAAGTACATGATGACAGAATGAACAGGAAGAAGTCCATCCCCGTTGATTTGGGAGATTTCAAGTTTTTTAGTCAGAGCTGGACGACAGCAGTGTCCACATTAATTAAGGACCATTTTGAATTGAAATATGTTCCCTATGTTCCCTCCATCCCTATGAAAGCCCAAAATGAATCTCCTTCATGTTGTCATTTGTGTCATTCATCTCCACTTGGCGGTCTGTTACCTGCTTTGAGAGTATTGTGAGGGTGGCTGGTGCGATATTCACTGACACAGGAGTCCAGTCAGTTTTAACTTTGCCGTTAACTGCTGCTGCGAGCGTGTCGTTGATTATATCCATACCTGAGAAATGTGTACAAATGAAATACAAAAAGCACGTTACTCACTACGGTAACCGTGCCAAAGTAATAGCGGTGATCAGGAGACAAAGTCTAAATAGATGTGAATGACTTCAATGCAGCCAGCTGAAATAATAACAAGACATTATATATTTAAGGTTTTCTTACCAACTGGCTTAGCCACAGCCTCACAACCAAGGTAATAGACGGTAAAGCGGTGGAAGAGTTCATTTTTCGGAGCAGGAAACTCTGTCAAGGAAGGAGGGAGAATGAATTGATCCGAATCCACTCTGAACTATAAAAGGTAGTCAAAGTGCAATAGGCCCCAAAGGTAGTTTGCTGTACCTTCAATTGGGATGACCACAGGGTTATTCGGGTCGGAGCTGAGTCTGCTCACCCCCGGCCTGCTGGCCTTTCTCTCCATCATTATCTTCAAGTCAAAATAAGAGGCGGATCATTGCGCATTTGTCAACTTGAAATACGGAACACAGATTGTACGGCGTTCTATATAAAACTAAATTAAATCCAACAGCGGCCGACCTTTGAGCACATCTCGTGTAGGCTGGTGGCGATGTTCTTGGCAGGCGAGTCGCAGCGGAAAACATGACACTTCAGGACTTGAGTCAGGTTGTCTCGAGCCACATACGCAAAATCCCTGCAGGTGGAATCCAAATTGGATAAGGGGACATTTACATATTGAATCATTAATACGAGATTGTGTGTAATATTTCCATAGTTTTAGAAGATAGTAATCGTTAATGTGTACCTTTCCCTGTTCATGGTGGAAAGAGCAGCATGAAAGATAAACACCACTGTTAGTGTGCAGCGAGACAAGAAGCAGGAAGAAACAGTCGGGGTCGTCTTTGTTTGCAATGTTTTAAAGCAGCCAGCAGAGGGCGGCAGAGTGCAACACAACAATGAGTATATGCTGCTAGAGTACAATGCGATTGTTATCTGAGCCAGTAAACATTTTGAGTACAGGAGCAGGTACATTGTCTTAAACAGGAATCAAATCAAACAGGATAATGACAGAATACTCTACTCTAGGGTTACTTACTGGACATATTTTCACCAACTAAAAAATGTGAATATTAATTAAAAAAAAACGTTCATTCCTGTATGTCAAATAAAAAGTATATGTGTCCAATAGGATATAAAATAAAAACTTGCCATAATAAGCAATTTAGATGTGTGTGTTCTCCAAAACAAATGAAATAAGTTTGATAAATAAATGGTGTGTAGTCTTGCCATGACGGTGGCCACTGACCTGCCGTTGTCTCTGCCGACGCCCCAAACACGGATGCTGCAAATAGGCTGAGCGTGAAGCAGAGTCTGTCCCAGTGGGTCGATCAGGTTCATGTTGTCATTCTCCAGGACCATCAGCATATCCTTTCCCTGTTATGACACACACACATACACCTTAAAACCATTTCAACTATCAGACTAATACCAGTTGCTATCAAGATACCTCTGCATGAGGAATGAATGTTGCATCAACCACCAAATACAATGGTATTATGTTTAGACACCGTACAGTTATACAATACAGTACGTATTAAGTAAATCTTTTAAAATGTATCCACATCAAACTGGATGTTACAGAAACTGTTGTGGTTGTTTGTGCAACTCCGTTAAATCCCCTCACCTCTCCCCAGATGCCGGCGGTGTCATGAAGGTTGTGTTTGTGATAAGAAAGCTGTCTGATGCAGTTGTTGACAGCAACACTGCTCTTGCCGGGCACCATGTCCTCCTCAGACATCTCTACCCAGCCCAGGGAACGCACTGCAAAGCACTGATAATACAAGTGTGGCGCCCGTTAGCGCAAAGCAGGACGCTATTGGGAAGGTGCGGGTGAAATTAAGGTGGGACAGGGTGGAAGTTAGTGGTGATCCTCTAACCTTAGTTTCTAAATCTGTGCAGAGCGGAGCAAGCTTCTCCTCTTCCTCAGACTGGGAGCAATTGTAGCTACAATCAGAGAGAGAGAGAGAAGGATAAGTAAGATAAAGAAAGGTAAAAACAGGTGATAATACACTATTAATCAAGTGAAAGCTGTCACGGCACATACTTCAGGTTTATTGACGCATAGCGAAGAGTTGCCCCTTCAAACTCCTTCAGACTTTGATCAGATGCAACCTCAGCCTCCTCCTGAAGACACGGACGAGAAGAAAGAAAACTGTAAAACATGGACCCTTTCACTTTTTCAAAAGATGCTAACCCATCTTATGTATTTTGAGTACAATTATGGCCAAAAACTCATCACGGTTGTGAGGGTATGCCGGTATATCCCGGTATTGTATTTCATGTAAACACATTCATTCATTGACAGCTGTACCCAGCATGTTGTTTGGCAGGGTGGTTTTATAAAACCTATTAGTGTTACAAAATGTTTATGTTGTCACAAGTTGTTGTGCAGTGGTGTTTCACCCTGTTAAAGAGTGTTTGTTGTAGCTCATTAATTGTTGTAAAATGTTATAAAGGTGACTCAATCTCTATACACGTAAGACAAGTAGCGGGGCGCTCATCGATGAGGTGAGTTAATTCATTCTGCTGCCTGCCGAAGAGCAACAGAAGTAGTTACGACTAAGGAACTCTGATACTGGTATACCTGTTGAAAGGGTATACCGCCCGGCCCTACAGTAAAGTACAATACATTTAATTCTTGCCGCAACTTACATTCCACAGTTCCCCTTCACAGACTCCTTCATCTGTGCTGGAAAGGTGAGCCCAGGATTCCTAGCAAAATTAACAGAATATTAGCGTCTACAAACTCACATGATATTTGCCTCAATTTGAGGGAATGTGCAGGAGACCTCACCTCGGTCTCCTCACAGGGCGTAGTCTCCAGGGACATGGTCGAGGACATCATGGAGTCGCCGACTTTACCCAGTGGTGAAGGAGGCTCCCACTGGGTGGTGCCTGTGGGGATGTGCCAGTAGTATGTGCCGGTTGTATCTCGGACCCTCATCCACCCTGAAGGCAGGTCCGTGTCGGTCTCAAAGGCACTGGAATCCCAAAAGGACTCTGAAGGGCACGGAGCAAACACAGGAAACGCACATTGTTTAAACATAACAACGCAATCTTCTTTACGAACTCATCATCCTGAGAACAACCAATACACAGAGCAGTCGCTTGTTGCCAAATGGCTTTATTCTAACATATAATTCTGCTGAGATTAAATCATTACTATATGTTTCTATATTCAACTACTATAATAGTGACATAATATTAATATCAAAAAATGTAAAAAGAGCAGGATAATTCTCTGCAAGGCATAGCTCAGGGTTTTATCCCACTACCCCCACATTAATAGAGTAATTAGCTGGAATAAATGTAATTTGGTTGAAGATTGTTGCAGAGAACTAAAGGCCTTTTCCAAATTCAAAACCTGCAAGACAAGAGTGCAATTGAGGCACACAGCAGGTGCAGTACACAATGAAGAATACAACCGTGACAAGAAGCTGTTGTTGTCCGTTTACACGCCAGCCTCCTCTTATTCATAGCTATAGTTGATGTTAAGCACATCAATGATACACACTCAGTTATAACTACGTTAAAAGTTCTTATAAACCCTTTAAAAACATACTGCTTGTAAATGCTAAAAGGGTAACACAAAACATTGTTGCACCTTCAGCCAATCTGCGAATGCTACTCCTTAGTGCTTAGTGCTCAATGTTCAATGACCACATCTACCAAAGCTTCCAACATGTCTCCATCTGGAATGGTATGTTGTTTTGGTGCATGTTGTCCTCTATGAGGACTCGGATGCCCAACCTTCCTTTTCGGCATCGCCAAATGTTGCATTGTGGCATTAAATGAGCGGCCTAACCACCGTCTCCATTTACCTTTGTTGCCATTTGGAGAGCTGTCGGCTGCGTTGTCCTGAGACGGTGCCGGCCAGCCGGGCTCCTCGTCATTTGGTGTCCCGTTGACGTTGGAGAACAGGAGGCAGGCATTTCGGCCAACAAGACTGCCCTCTCTCTGAGTCTCCACGTCCACCGGTTCTTGGGTCACCGCCTCTCCTCGGATGTGACCCGATGTATCTTCATCATCTTCCTCTTCTGATGTCTTGTCCTTCTCTTTAACATCTTCTTCTCTCTCTTTCTCTTCTGTAGACTCCAGAGTATCGATGAGTTTGGGCTGATAAAGGATGTTCTTGGACTCCTCCTCGCTGAGACCAGGGGTCATTGCTATCTTGGGAGACTTGGTCTGCTCCTCGTTTCCCTGTTGTTCTTCCTGAGTGGTGTTCTGGTGCGGGAAGTCTTCCTTGTTCCCATTCTGACTGATGTTGCAATTGTGGTCCTGGTCCTGTTGGTTCTCGGCTACTTTCCGCAGCTGGTTCCGGCCTTCTTTGACCCACTTGGCATTGTTGCCAGTGGACTCCTGGTCACACCAGAGAGTGCTGTCATTCAGCTTGTTCTTGAGCTCTTCGTCTTGTTTTTGTTTGTTTACAACATATGGCATATCTTCATCGTCATGGCCACCCATGTTAACTTTCCATGTAACGGCCCTGATGGAAAAAAGAGATTGAGATGTTAGCATTTACCGTTAGCAGGCTAGCTAGCAGCGTAGCGATACAATTGTGAGCATACGACAGCTATTATTGTCAAAGTTCAGACACAAGTACAGTGGATGCTGGCTACTGAAACAATCCATATTGTAAATCATTCCACTATCCCCAAAATAGCTCAACTAACGTTAGTTAAATTGGCTGTAAGCTAAAACTAGCTAGCCACCTTAAAATCTGGAGACAGAAGTACGTTTTTAGTTCGACTATTCCGGGTTCGCCATTTCCGTGGTTACTTTCACCGTTGGATTCCTTTGACGAATATGAAACGTACTTCAACACAATCACCTTCCATTTGCCAACACGACCTTTTCTATTCCGTATTGAGCTAAATGTTCACTGCATCACTCACTTAGTCTTCTTTATATTACATGCAGTTCAATAAGCAACCTGCGTACTGACATACACCAATATTAATAGGAAGCCAGGGCCGCAGCTGTAAATAACGGTATCCACCCGCCATCATCTTCGTAGTCATCTTGGCTAAGCTACTGTTAGCACCACAGCTAGCTGACATCCACAAACAGGCACATCAAAGAAAAGAGCTTTATCGCGCATAACTCAAGAACGTTTACTTACCAGCTCCACTGAATCTCCTGTTGTCGAATTGTACTCAACGGTGCCAGCTAGCTACATGTTTCCATAAATCGCGAGGACTGACTTGTAGATGGTGTTTTCTGTTAGTGGGCTTGACTGGTGGTGATGGAGGGCGAACCTACGTCACCAATCCACGTCACCAACAGAGCTCACTGCCGCGGTTCAGACAGAACATGGAACACTTGAAGTGGACCTTTCCCGACCGTTTTTCGACATATTGATATTGGTATACTGATAAATCAAATAGATGGTTAAGAAAAAAATATTTGTATTTGTCTGTATGGTTTTCTTAGAAGACACTTTGTTTAGGAGACGCTATTTCAAGGCATGGTGGTCTCAGCTGTAATTTGACCTCTGACCCCCAGAACAGCTGCTTGACCAGTCCTCATTCTAACTATTAATTATACCTGTGAAACTCCAGGCTTGATGAATCTATAGAAAAAACCTTTATTATTGACTGATACACAAACATGTTCATACTTGAGGTTTGATGTAGTTTATCAACGTCTAACTATCTAATGACATATTACAATGTCAGAAATAAGGGATGCTGATTTAACAAGTCTTATATAACAACAATCACACATCTAGAATAATGGCTTATTAGAAAGTAAGAAACTCACCAGCCAGTGATTTTTCACAAACTGGCTGCCAAATAATGTCCTTAATAAAGACAAACATTAGATTAATAAAGCATTATCCAATTATTTATTTTCATAATTTGTAAGGGAGGAAATATCTGTAAGTGGAAGCAATATATTCAATCAAATATAATTTTTATAACATTAATCAAACCAATTATATTAAAAGCACAAATGTCAAACATTTGTCTGAAATTATGACTTTAGACAGTAACAAACTGAAACTAAACTAAAAATGCTTAGAAAGTAAGATGGAAGATCCACGTGTTTAAATATTAAGGCAAGACAATACAACTGAATCAACATGTTCTAAAATGTTCCATCTTTAGTTGACTTAAAAAACTTTACCACTGATATTCAATATTTCAACTGCTTAATTTGGGTTCTTTTTATTAAAGCTTATTGATAACAAATATAACTACCTACATTTTAAAATATGTATTTGGATTAGGTGTATCCACACAAAATATATGTAATTTGAATTTTACTTAACTTTCTCTCTCCTTTAGGACATTCAGTAAAAACAAAATTAGTTATAATAGTTATCCCATTCCAATGTTTCAAATATAAAGTAAGTATTCATAATAACACCAAAACATACAATTCCAACTATGAATTCACACATTGAAGTTGCCCATATGATTCCTTTTTAATATACTTATATATAAATACATACATTTGTAGAAGTGATTCTTGATTTTGGCTTTAACCTGTGATGCAGCACAAACAAGCAAGCTGGTGGAGGCACGGAGTAGACGCAGGTAGAAGAAACAAGCCAGGAGATAGATAAAGTCATTTAGGTTTTTCAGAAGACGACAACAATCAAAGCAAGTGATGCAACAACCTGACAGTTTGTAGGATGCAAACTCAACCCCTCGATGTCCCGGACACCTGCTCACAGCGGCTTCTGATGTAGCCATACAAATGGGAGGAAAGGCAGCACTCATGCTCAACAACAACACAACAAATAATAACTATACCTATGATAACCATGAAGAAATTACATTCTGGTGAAAAAAAGTATGTATTCAACATGAAAACACATGATTTTAACACAAACACCTTCAGACTTAATAGAGGAGACGATGTGCTCTGTAGGAAAACAGAATTTGATCAACAATTATACACTTTTGAAATGACAATAATGAAGATAAACTAGGTTACGGTCATTTATTGGAATAATCCCATTATGAACAAGAGAAAATCTGTTATCTTTTTAATTATTTGGAAAATAAAACTGTATTGATCAACACTGATATTTGTTGCCGCACTGCAAATAAAGTTTCCATGGCCCGTTTAACACCACTGTCAGCAGGTCATGTTCAGTCTCAACACAGCCACACACAGCCAAACACTCTCCCGGCCACCACTTGTACACATTTAGTCTTAATCTTAAATGTGGTTTAAATGCTTCATTTGAGAGACTTTTCATGCTAGCCAAGTTACACTCAGTTTTGTCCCCTACTAAAACTTTGAGTTAATATTTTATTTGTTCTACGGACAGCTAACATGACAGAGAAGCGGTTTCCTTGCATTGTGACTTTTTCAACAGCCAGTCAACTCCAGTTAAGAAATATAAGGCCTCAGATGCACCGTCATGCTGACCTCCACAGGTTATTCAGTCTAGCAGTTTGAAGATGATTGTACTCAGTCCACATGATTACAGTTTACAAGATGAGCAGCATCAGCAACAAAGATGAAGACACTAATAAAAAAAGGAAACACTTTGGAAAACAAAAACAAAAAAATCAACTGCCGCTGAATTCATCTCAGAAGCTACAGTGGCATTGAACGCAGCGGTAGAGTAAGAGTTTAAGGCAATACTGGTAAGCACCACACCACCATATCAAAACGATATTTGGGGTAAAACGTTCCCCATAAGTAAACGGTCGGAACCAAAGAGCACAGGAGGTCACTTGTCCTGCATCTTTTCCAGAATTGGCACAATCATGTCAAACTTAGGCCTCTTCGCTGGGTCCTCGTTCATGCATATCTTCATGAGCTTGCAAATGTGGGGCGAAATGCCCGGGGGGATGGTGGGCCTTAAACCCTCCAAGGCAACCTACAGGGCAGAGCAGACAGAGAAGATATTCTTGAACACTTTATTCTTGAACCTTTTATTTTGCCTGCGAGCATAAGTAACTCAGCTGGTAAACCTAACCAACGAAAGATAACTTTGCTAACCTTCATGCCGATTTCCATGTTAGAGAGGTCAGCATAGGGCACTTCTCTTGTCACCAATTCCCACAGCAGGATAGCAAAGCTCCACATGTCTGCTGACCGACGGTTGATCTCTTCCGGCTTCTTCTGCAGGGCTGGAAATTAAAAAAGGCAGCAAGTGAAGGTTACGCAGAGCAAACACAGGAAATGCCTCTTTCCACAAAAAATAAATAATATACATATGTTTCAATGCTAACATCACCTGACCACAGAAATAATTCAATTAGTTATAATATGTGAGGGGTCAAATCAGCATTTGTGCTCCATCTATACTGTTCATACATTCCCTGTGGTAAACTATGCAACACTTGGTGTCTAAGAAGAGCTTGATGACCCTCTTCGCCACACGTAATTCAGTACATGTGTAAGTGTACAGTTGATGCCCCCCAAAAAAGGGCACGCAATGACTGTCTCTAGCCACAGAGCAGCAGCTCAGCGATCATGACTCGCATAACTGTGTGTGCTGATAGTTCTGATAGCCGTCAACCGAACAAACCATCCGATCCAATACAGGTGAGTAAACTGTGTCTCAATTGTGTCCATTACCCACTGCAGGCTTCTTAGGTCTAGTGAATGAAGAGTAAGCAGTCAATTATTTATCTATAAAGACAGGCAACAAAAGTTTTTTTGAGAAAGTGTGTGTCATTGTACACAAGCGGCTGTTGAGGATGCAGCCATAAATGAGCCCCTAAAATATTATGAGACTGGCACAGCAGTTTGTGAGGTTGTCTTTGTACACACTCACTCACGCTTGCCCAATATATATATTGCTCAGGAATCAGTAAACATCTTTGATGTCTCGGACACACAAGTGTTTCTACATTAGAGTTTTTATATTTACCTAATTGGCATAAAGATGTCGTAGCTGAAGATGAGTCGGATGGATATTCTCCACCGTAACCAAATCTGTACATTTATGACTTATAAATAGCAACGGTTTCTGTGCTATACATTTCATGGCTCATAACCAAGTAAATGTCGTTTCTATGGTAACGAGTATCCTGTATCAAATGCAGTCAATACCAGCATTCCCCAAACACTGCTCTGTAAAGTAAAACCTCTTTCTGTGGCTCGGGTCACTGCTACGGATGTTCCCTCTCTTATTTTGTTTATCAGTTTATGTTTCCATGTATCTTGGATTTCACTGTATCTCGAGGGGAAAACAGCTGCAGATTACGTGTACTTCTGAGACAGTGTAGAGTTCCCCACATCCGTCATTCCCACTCGAGCCAGCTGTCACTTTGGATCTGTGCTGTATGAGTGACGCTTACCCTCGGGGGCGACCCATGCAGGCGAGTACATCCTGCCAGGACACTGAAAGGAGAACTTAACATCTGCCATGCTGATCCTGGCTGTCATGTCTTCATCTATCTGTGGAAACAAGCAACACTGATTGAGATGTCACCGTTAAGTGCAACAGAAATTCTTACCATAGATTCTTACCATAACACTCTTGCTGTTGAGATAGTGGCGAGGGATCATGGGCTCCAGCGTGTGTAAGAAGGCCATTCCACAGGCGATGTCCAGCGCAAACTTCACCGCCTGAGTCTGATCCACCACAAAGTCTAACAGCACAATGACACACAAATCATAAAAAGGTTTCAGCCCCCCCTTACTTTCACCACACAATGGGATGATAGTTGAATTGCTACGTGATGGCAACATAATGACAAAGGCAAAAGTGCAATAAATCACAAATCCCTGCTAAAAACTAAAAATGGTGACAGGTACAGACTTCGTTACAGGAGTAGTAGTACTCACTGGTGCCTTCATGCAGCACATTGTAGAGGGAGCCGTAAGGCATCCAGTGTGTGATGATGATGGGGTGAGGGGCGGGAGGAGACTGACATGCTCCCAACATAGGTAGGACATTCGGGTGGGAGAATATCCTGGGATACAGCCCAAGAGGGACAGACAGACAGACAAAACCCACAAAGGATTTGACATAAACAGACGACACCCCCAAATAGAAATAATAAATAAAAATTGGTTCAACGTAATACAGACAGACAAATGAGTGACAACAGAACATAGAGACTGTAACAAAAGTCAAGATTAAATAATAACCTGAGTTTTGGATATTCCTCATTGAAATCTCTGCTTTTCCTTGTGGACCAGTCACGAACCTTTAGCACCTTAACAACCACCTCATTCCCCTGCCACCGCCCCTGCCACAGCTACAGACAAGAATCAGAAAAGGGGGAAATGAACGACATGCATCTCTACGTGACCATTTGGCAGTAAAGGGAGAAGGATAAAAGAATAAGAGCATAAGTACCTCTCCAGACTGGTTCTCGTTTACTCTAGCCACTAGAGCGAGCTGTTTGAAATCAATGCCTGCGTGTTTGTTCAAAGTGCCATTGCCTAAAAACACAAGACAGAGTTTAGACAAAAGCCCGGTTATTAATGTGGACATTCAAATCGTTTGCCCGGCCAGCAAGAAACAATTTGCCTTTTCTAGCAGCTCTATGACCGAACCAACTGAAAGAAACTGGTCAGCTAAGGAGCTTGTCTGTGTGTGCGTGTGACTCACGGGGTCGAGTCCTGGTGGTGCCTTTCCAGAACGTGTCCTTGAAGGGGACTTTAGCCAAGCTCTGTCCTAGTTTCTCAGCTTGTTCTGTGTGGTGGAGGGATAAGCTCGCAATGAGATATTGGACAACAAAAGCCTCCGACAATGCACTTGAAGATGTTGGAATGAGGAGCGTGATGACGGGGCGTCAGGATACCTTTTAGGAGCTCACGCAGGTGAGGTTTGGCTTTGTCCAGGGGAGTTTCCCCATATTTGTTACAGATGCTCACCTGAGCCCCATTGGTCACAAGGTCCTGAGTACAAAGATGGGTTGATGTCGTCATTATTTTAATAGTTCATGAAGATGGGAATTACACATAAAAAAGGACTAGTCTCCGTTTTAAAACCACCAGGGGGAGCACTAACCTCAGCCACAAGGTCCTGGCCCCAGAAGCAGGCGTAATGCAGTGGTGCGTTCCCGTGTTCGTTGGCTGCATTGGTGTCTGCTTTGCATTGGATCAGCTGGAGAAGCAGAAACAAAGGATTAAATAACAACCAGGCTGGTCAGATCTTGTTTGAGCTGTATACAGGGATGAGTGGTAATACTGCCAACAGGCATCATGGAAGAGGCCCGAGGACACATACCTGAGGTATTGAGACATGCCTAACATTAAACTCAAAAGATGCCGGCAGCAACTGAGAACTGAGGTTCCCATAGTAAATGAAGGATTACTAACCATATTTCGACATCATAAATTGCAAACAGGTTTTAAAATCATACTTGCAGCTTATGAAACTTTCCCCTCAACACTGACGAAATGCTTATGATGGAACAACAATGACATTTGTAGACGTGTATCATCGCTGTTTGCAGTGGAGGAACCGGGAAGCGTCACTGTGTTCCCGCCCCGGTGTTTACATGGACCCTACCTTTCCCACAATGTCGCGATGTCCATGGCTGGAGGCCAGGTGCAGAGGCGTGTCGTCGCCGCGATTCATGACGTTAATGCGAGCCCCCCTCATGATGAGCATGTCCACCACGCTGGAGCGGCCCTCCCTGCACGCCCAGTGCAGGGGGCTGAAGCCGTGGTCATCCCTACGGGGAGAAAAGGAGTTCCTTTTCAGCGCGGGTGTGGCCAAAATGCTCAGTAATGCATGAAGTAACAACTTTTCCTGCCTGTCTTGCATGTACTCTTTGCATCATTTGAGCGGGAGGGAGAAAAAAAGTACACCAGCAACATCAGCCCCTTGGCTGTCCACATAAAATGTTTCCCTGTAAACAAATCCGGAGTAGAACTGGCACATGGCCAACTGTAACAAACTGCAACTGTTTTTGTATCACTGTACATCAATGATGATATTGCTTTTCCAAAGAGTGCATTCCAGAGAGAAAACTGGGTGGTCAACAGGAAAAATATCAACTTATTCAGCTGTATCGTGAACTGTATGAACGCACCAGTCCTAAAAGAACTGCGTTATGCGTTTCGATCAAACCGTCCCGCACTAAATCCTCCTCTTCATTAGGTCTCCGCCCCATTCAAACCTATGAGGATGGACAAAATAATACAGTTACTTCAGTATTACGACACTCGGCTTTGAGTGCAGAATTTGTTCTTTTGTCAGCTTCGTCAGAAAAAGGAAGTTGCGGCAACTCAGGGAACAGCTAATAGACCTTTTGGTGGCTCATCGTTTGTCTTTTGTCTCACTTACGCTGGCAGCGACACATGTTAGGACAGTGGCCTCTATGACATGGCAGAGTGACTGATGGCAGACCCCCTCAGAGCCGACCAGATAAAGACTGAGGGATTCAGACACAGTAGGAGCTGAGTGAGTCGATCCTTATAGGCCCCGGTGAGACGTCATTTCAGCTGTCATTCTTCTTGTCTTTCTAACCCTTCTCCGCCTGGCTGGTGGTCACCCCGTCCTCTTCACCTCATACTAATTTTCCTCCCGCATCAGAGTCCCACGACTCCCCCGTCCCCTCGTCCGCATCCCTCCCCCTCTCCCCCTCTGTTCCACTGAAACAGCTGGACTGCACTGGGGACATATTCCACGTTTCATACGCTCCCATTTTCCATCAGGGCTTTATCGTTTGTTCCAAGACACAGCACATAACAAAGTTATGCACTCTCTCAGAAATGACGAGTGGGGAGAGAGCATAATAATGTGACCCGAGAACTGAGGGAGTATTATGAATCTGCAGGAGTCTCGACCTTCTACCCCCCCCCCCGGCCCTCTACGGCATCAATTCGCTGGCTTGTCTTCTCACATCCTGCAGAGCTCTGTTCAAAACAGCCTCGAGAGTCCCACAGAGACCCTCAGTCCCAAAACACACATGTATCTGTGCCTCTGGGGGACCTTCTGCAGTCACACCACACCTGCAATTTCCTCCAGACCAAAAGGACAAATCCTAAAAAAATAATTACACTAAGTTTATGAGAAAAAAAAACTCCCATAGACCCGCTTCACTGATTTGTGTGTCAAGCCACAGTCTGTTTAGAGAAGGAGGTTGTGTTGGGGAGTCGATGCTGCTCCTCTTTAAAGAGTAACATTGCAAGCACGAGCACACCTGCTTGTGTATCTAGATTTTCAGATTGCAAATAACTTTAGCGTTTATATCGCCTTTAAAGGATCATATATCCAGTCGTAAGTTCTGGTGCGCTGGTTTATAAAAGTATTTGAAAAAACATGTCTTCTTGGAATTTGGGGAATTCCTTCAATCACAATGGGACATTTGGATGAACGGTTGAAGAGAAATGAAAGCAGAAGCCAACATGGACCAAAAAAAAAATTACTATTTTTTCTTCTTGTGTATTCCTATGTAAAGAAATTATGATTAGAAATGTAACCATTAATGTTTAAAAAAGTGTTTGTTTTAACTGTCCTTCATCAATTGCTAATAGACCATTTATCATTTAGCAACAACAAATGGGACCCGATCCACATGCTAAAAATGCACTTTCACTTTGAGTGAGCCGCTGCTTCCTGTGGGAGTGTTTGGTTTTTGGTGGCCCTTTTTATAGGATAGATTTTGTTCTCTCTCAGGCAGCTTCATCCCTTTAACCCAAAGGCACTTGAGTGCTAGGGTTTTCTCCAGCTACCCCCCCCCCCCACCCCACACGGGCAGCGGTAATTTATTTCAGGCACTTCCACCTGCCAACAGTGCTCATTTTGGCAGACTGAAGCCAGAGGAAGAGGCCCTGTCTGCACCCTGTGTGTTTCTGCTCCGACATCCCCACCACCTCGTACGAGAAGCCTCAGGACCACAAATGAAAAGATTGAAATGAACGTCCAGAGAGAGAATAACGTTGTCACAATTATGTTCCATGTTTCTAGAAATTGCCAAAATTATCTACGGTAAGCACTAATTCTAGAGTGATAGAGAGGTCCTTCATATCTGACTTGCTTGTCTTTTGTCCACCTAAGCCAGCTCGTGTGTCATATCTGCTCTCCTTTACTTACATCACCACAATGGATTTGAAATGAAACCACCGAGACGTGCTTTAAGTGCAGACTTTCAGCTTTAATTTGAAGGTATTTACATCCAAATCAGGTGAACGGTGTAGGAATTACAACTAACTTTATACGTGCCCCGTCCCTTTGTAAGGGACCAAAACTAATTGGACAATTAGCTGCTCAGCTGTTCCATGTGTGTCATTCCCACGTTAATTCATTTACAAGCAGACTGAAGGTCTACAGTTAATTTCAAAGGTGCTATTTGTGTTTGGAATCTGTTGCTGTAAACTCAGAGAGCCCAGAGAGCCTTATTGTCAGACCTGGTAATTGGCTCTGCCTCAATCACATGATCGGCTGGCAGTGATTCTTCTGATAGAATTTGTACCTGCTGCAACAAGCCTCTCGACCCGAGTGAGCTTGCAACAAAGACTCACACTGCTGCTCCCAACAGAGCGATTACACATAAAATCAATATTTAGACTGGAAATCTAGCTCCTTCTCGAAGCAGCAGCATCAATCTTAATGGTAAAAAAAAGAGACCTCCACGAAAGAAAAGGGAAAGTTTTCTGCTCAAACTGGCGATCACACACCACTTCTCTTGGATGCACATTTAGGTACAGCACTAAATACAGATAACCACCAAAGCCATGATTACCCACTCCGGGGCCAAGAGGGTCGACCTCATTTGTATCAGGCCAAACCACAGCAACAGCTGGAGAATGGCAGAGCACAGGGCCACGTTTACATTATTAATAGGCACTATTTTTATAGCACTGAGGGGGCGGATAACATTTGATTTGGGCGATCGATTAACATGCCAACTACTTCTGTAGATGATATTTGTTTTGATGAATTGGCTAACGGTCTAAACCCCAAAGTGTTTCCCCTACCATTATATCAGGAGAGCGCCCCCTCCCCTGAAGATGTAAACCTATGGGAAATACTGCAATCTATTACAAAGTAGGTTAAGGAAAAGCAGCAAGTCAGCACATTTAATAAGCTGGAACATGCAACTTAAACGAAGAATTAAATTGTTGAAATAGCTGCAGATACATTTTCAGCAAATTTACTAATTTAGAGGTGAAACAATACGTTTTTTCTTTGGGGCCAATTCAAGTAAACTAAATACTTGTGTTTTGGCTTGATATTGGGACAAAACAAGGAACCTCCAGATTGACTATGAAGTCAATTTTTCTACTATTAGCTGATTATTTAAGTAAATAGTATTTAGTTACAGCCTATTCAATAACCTGACTAATTGCATCGTCAGTTCATATTCAACACAGAACTATAGCATGTACTTACATGAAGCACCAAATAGCAAAGCAGCAGCATAAAACACAAATACACACCAATGGAAGGCTACTTCCATCAAAGTGATTACACGTTAATTAATAAGATTTAGTCTTCAGAAGAAAAATAAAACTTTTAATTGTGATTAATCTAGAAGATTAATGAATTTCAAAATATGACATTAATTTGGGGTTTTTTCCAACCTATTTACAGCCCTAATAATAACTGGCAGCCAATTTGGTTTAAACTTTGTAACAGACTTGGACGCCAACATTAAGGAAATGTTGGGAGGGAAATGATAGGAGCTTTCTAATACCATTGGGAGACAACAACAGGAAACATAAGTAGAGGAGGAGATGCTGATGTTCTCTGCATTTCCCCTTCTGATAAATTCACTATACCATACCCTCTACCCACTATACCCTATACCCACGACCCCCACCCCTCCAACACACACACAAACACACACACACACACACACACACACACACACACACACACACACACACACACACACACACACACACACACACACACACACACACACACACACACAGGGTGTCGACGTCACGTTTAACTCACACTACAATAACCTCCTCCCCCTCTCCTGCAGTTTTGGAAGGTGGTAGCCGGCTCCCTCGAGGCCTGGGTGTTATTCCATGTAAGGAGATTCAGCATTCCACCATGACTGGGAGTTACATTGGTGTAAACAGGCCATCATCGAGGAGCATGAAACATATTCATATCCAGCGAGGGGGGTCTGTTCGGCTAAGATTTTGTTGGATAGCAGAGACGTAGGAGGGGAAGAACTATAAGTTCTGTAGGGAGCGGAAAAGGGAAGCATAACCGATTTTCCACCCAGTGGGAGAGATACATCACCAGGATAAAGGAACTTGACATGCAATCAGCTAATGGGCAAGTCACATGTTGGGAATGCATCATGTATCCACACTGACCCGATGCAATCACACGGTGTTACAACAATGGGATAACTTAACAAAAACAGACGTAAATTCCGCCTGCAAACCTCCCCACAAAGATTGAACATAAAAATAGTAGCTGGCGTCTTGCTAGTGGTGCTTACTTGTTTAACCTTTTGCATATTAATATACTACCAAAACAATATTTTCACGTATTATTAATCATATTATTCAGTAATTTCTCTTTTAAAAATATTTTCCTTATTTTGGGGTTACATTTGCAACAGTATATCATATATATCAGTAAACAATAAAAAGCCAAAAGGGAGAGAAACTACAAGGGAAACAAATAATAATAAAGAAATGTGTTGACACAGCCTCTGGGGTCAATGAACAATAAAAAGAGGTGAACAGCTGTTCAGTTGGGCGGTATCCTTTTCGGCGTCAATCAATGAATGTGTTTACTCAAAAAAAGAATACCGGGAAAATCCTAGAAAATTCCGCGAAATTAATTTTTGGCAATACAGCCCAGCACTAAGCTGAGGATACGGAAGCAGGTCCAACCGATCTGTACCTATCAAAACAGATACAACCATGTCCAATCCTGCAGCAGCTTTCAGTATTTATTTGCAGTTATTTCCAGTCCATTCAGTTCCATTAGGCCTATATTCAATTGCAGCAACCGAAAGAGGGACCAACCCCACAATCACAGCACGTTTCCTGTTCAACGGTACACTTCTGAAGTACTCGGCTGACATTCTCTATATAAACATGTGCCCAAAGGGAAATGGGTTCAATCACAGGCCAAAATTTCTCTAAAGACCAGAGAGGCGGGCTCTCAGCCTGCATCGGCATTTGGGTTTGAGAATGACACATTTATACTAAGTGATTAAACGGCAGTGTACTTCCTAATTAAAATGACTTCTGATTTATGTAATTTAGCGTCACAAAGTCAAATTGCTGTGGTTAAAGCCAGCTTGTATAAATGTGTTGTTAATAGAAAAGAAAAGTTTAGTAATGTTATTGGGACATCATTGTCGAACGATGGCATCAAAAAGTGATATTGTTTACATTTACCAAGGTAAATGCAAGTAAAAGCGAAAGAAAACTTCTGCCTCACCCTTGATTGAGGTCATTCTCTGTGTTGTCCAGCCATAAGCGAACTGCCACTGCATTTCCTTCCCGGCACTGCGTGAAGATATCATCCATTGTGGCACGTGAATCCTCCTTCCCTTAAGCTACACCCGTCAAGAGTAGATGCAGGGCTGAAGTGGGACGGAGGAGAGAGGCTACCCGAGGGGTTGAGCAGGATCCTGGCCAGCATCAGTCCCTCATCTGGGATAATGAGGGACGCCTTCTGAGGAACTGAGGAGCACTCCAGCAACCCTGAAAACACACAAGGGGGATATGCTCTATTGAAACGTTTATCCATGGGTTTGATCTCCGTCATGTGATATACCCTCTCTTTTATTCCCCGGCAGTGCAAACCTGAAAAGAAGAAAGGAAAGAAATCTATTGTTGAGTTGAATCATATCCACCCTACTGGGTGACTCACAACACTCGGTTTCAAAAGGCGACACGCACCAGCATGGACAGAAGTCTTTGTCGTGCTAAAATCTGAACTATTACAGTGCTGCAATGTGCCCCCTCCCAACAAACACATTATAATATTAGACAAAGATAACCAGAGTAGATGCAAAATGCATTTTTTCAATCTATTCAAACTTACCTGGCACTGTATGAAAAATGAATTGCCCCCTAACCCTAATAACTAGTTGCTCCCCCCTTGGCGGCAACAACTGTAATCAAACGTGTGCGATAACTGGCATGAGTCTTTCACGTCAATGTGGAGAAATTTTGGCCCATTTTGTTATTGCAGAATTGATTTAATTTTGCCGTATTGGTAATTTGCAGTTATGGTTTTTGATTGTAAACGGCTAGTCAAAGCATCTCAATCAGATTTACATCCTGACGTTGAAGAGGCCGCTCCAAAACCTTAATTAAGCTTCTTCTGAGCCAATGTGAGGTGGACCTGCTGGAGGTTTTGGGATGCAGAACCCAAGTGCTCTTGATGGCTTCAGCACGTTCTGGTAGAAAGCAGAATTCATGGTTCCATCAGGTGGTCCGGTCCCCACGCGGCAAAGCAGCCCCAGACCATCACACCACCAACACGTGGGACTGTTGGTGGGATATGGTTTTTATAAAAATGCTGTGTTGGTTTCACGCGAGATGTAACGGAACACACACCTTACAAAAATGTGAATTGCTTTTTCAAACTGCATTTTCTATATCTTTGGCTAATATATACATTTGTTTAATGATCTGAGACATTTATGTGTGACCAATATGCAAAACAATAAGAAAACAGGAAGGGGCCAAATACCTTTTCACAGCACTGTATGTACAGTATTCATATTTGAATTGGGGAGTACAGAAATGTTTAAATAATTAGTTAGCCAAGTTGATTTATTGACAGACAGCATATCTGCAACTTTTGTGAACATGTATCGGATGTTTAAGAAATATATAAATACAAAAATAAGAGTAAAAGGTCAGACATTTCCTGGTTCCAGTTTTTCAATATTGAGGATGTACTGCTAAACAATTAAAGTTGTATATTTGAGGGTAATTTAACAAGCCTTTAATTCGTTGCCTTTAAGATTCCTACATGTGTTAGTTAGCGTAAACATAACGAATTCACAGACAGTCTGAATTCACCCACTGCCTTCACGTGAAAAGCTGAACTACCGACCCAGTTCACACAGAAGAAAAGCTCGTTTACCGCCCTGCTCCTGTCGGTACCACCGTGTGCTTTCATTACACTCGATCTAACTGAAGTAGCTCCACGCAATACAGACGTTAGCATCCTCTTGTTGACCGAATGAGAGCTAGCATCAACGAGCTAACATCAACCGTCCTGAAGCGCCGCACAGCCTTCTCTCATTCGCCGCTGGCTTCACTGAGGCGTGACGTTACAATAGACATAGAATACGTCGGGAGGTCAAACGGTCCGACCGGAGATCAAAATGTGGCTCCCAAGGCGGCAAACTTACCGGGTACAAACGCCTGTTGCTGAGCAATTCGGTTAGAAGTTATTAACAGCGTTATGTTGTCTGCAGCAGATTGAGTGCCGTGGGACGTCGTCCACACCCTCGCCGCCTCCGCACGTACGTGGTGACGTGCGGTTGAGAAAGCCGGGGCCCCGCCCCTTACAGGCGGCAGCGAGTACTGCACGAAGTCGAAATATTCACAGCCTCAGGTCATGGTTATTTTAGAAGAAGAATCTGCAGAGTAATTCATGGTATTATTCTTCACTTCATATTTAATTACATACAACTATTGTTAACGGATCTAAGAATGTTTAAGTGCAATGCATATACTGTAGTACAGGGTATAATTATTAACCAAGACTTTTATGAACACATTTATTTATTTATTAAAGCTCAATGGGCTCATGATGACGATTGTAATAATAATAGTTAGTATATTAATGATACCAATTAACGTTAGCTTAGTTCAGTGTTGTTCTACAAATCCCGAACAGCAGGAAGTTAAGGTTCATCTATGTTTGTAGTTTCTAAGAACTTCACGTCCCACAAAGCAATGCTGCGCTTACGTCATCAACATCCGACTGTAGTTCTGTTTTGCTTCCTTTACGCACATGAGATCAACCAACGTGGCTTTTGCCTTTGACAATCTTTTTACAGCTATCAGACATATTTACACGTTCATTACAAAAACAATTGTTTATACAAGCACCGCCATCAACGAAACAAGCTGTTTGACTTGTAAAATATCTTCTGGTTGGAGACAAACTGGTGAGTTAGCCGAGTTAGCGTGTCGATGGAGAAGAAGGTAACGCTGCGGTAGCAGTTTGTCTTCTCATCTTCAGCAGTGAATTCACGTTACGTTACGTTTGTTTCTGACAGTCCTGCCGGGAACATGTTTAATGAGGATGAAGACTGGAGTGACGAACAAGACGCTCAAGTCCTGAGCAAAACTGTACTCGGAAAAAACACACAGAAGACGACCAGCCGCGCGGATGTCAAGGTAACTTCAATGTAAAAGTCGTGTTAGAATTACCATTAATTGTAACACCAATAATGATATGAGGCTTACTTTGTTAACCTGAGTGTGCAAGTTCAACATACGCAGTGAAAGAACAAACCGCAGCCTGGAAATGTAACTAACTGCTGATATTCTGTAGATTTTTTTAGGTTATCTCATTTTTGGAACAATCAAGCAGTGCAATAAATAATTGTTTTTAAGTTCAAATAAGTTAGATTTGCTACAAAGGAGGAGATAAATGAAAAATATAGTAATCTAAATCTGCTGACGTATACACGCACACACAAGATAATGACTCTCAAATGTTTGCCTGAGCAAGCTCTGCATCTCATACACGTCCTGGAAATGGAATACATTACACATAAATGTAATTTGTAGTACAACCCCCTCCCTCACTCCCCATTCACAAAGAAAAAGAAACACTTTTTTCTCATTAGCAGTCTGCGACGTTTCAATGGAAGGGCTTATTGTGATCTGAATTCATCCCCTGATCAGTCCAAGTTGGTTGGAAAGAAGAGCCTCCTGCGGACCCTCCAGACTCTGGGCTCAGTGCCAGACTGGAAGAACGACGACCATCAGCAGGGCAGCGACAGCGATGGCGCCGTGGTCCCATCACACACCAAGAGAAAGAAGAAAAGAAGTAAGAGGCGAAAGCAAGCAGAGACAACAGGAGAGCAGCCAAACAATGGACACTTGGATCCGACTGTAAATAACGAGAAACCCGCAATAAAAAAGAGGAAGAAAGAAAACATATTAAGTGAGTAATTAGCTGGAATTTATTCACATTTTGAAAAGTATTCACCGGATCAATAAGCACACCGTGTTGATATTCACAGTTGTTAATATCTAAATGTTTTCTTTCCTCCATTAAGCTGACCTGACGTTAAAAACAACATCTGAGAAAGAGACGACCAACGGAAATAATATCCAATCCAAACCAGACAACACAGAGAAACTGAGCAGACAACAGTGGAAAAACAAGATGAAGAACAAGAGGAAATGTAAAAATAAATACAGTCAGGATAAGCCCAAGATGGAAATCAATAATTGTGCCGAGCAACACAAGCTGAAGGAGGAAGTCAAACTAGATTCACGTAGTAATAAAAACATCAATGGTCAGACACCAGCCAAGAAAAATGAAAAGAAACGAAAACCCCAGAAATTGGAAAAGACAAAAGTGGATAAAGATTCATCCGGCGCACCAGACACAAATGCACTCAGAGCGGAAAAGAAGCCAATTGGCGCCAAATTTAAAAAAGACGCAAATAAGTCTTTGGCTTCTGGATCAAAACAGAAAGTGAAGATCGCAGGTGAGCAGCAACAGTCACCAGTAAAAAGACTAAAACCTGAGCTGAGCAAAGAAGAGATTGTGAAAAGAGAAAAGCTGCGGAAATTGATCAAAACGCGAGAGCCGGTCCAAGAGCAGAGTCCCGCTGAGACGAACGATGAGCCTGCGGTAGAAGAAGAGGAGGCCAAACAGGACCGCGCCGCCTCGCTGAGGTCCCGCGTGGAGCAGCGACTGGATTCGGCCCGTTTCCGATACATCAATGAGGTTTTGTACAGCACGTCCAGCGGCGAGGCGAAGCGCATGTTCCAGCAGGACCCTGAGGCCTTCGGGATCTACCACAGAGGATACACGGCGCAGGTTCAGAGATGGCCCGCCAACCCGGTGGACGCCATCATCTCCTTCATCCGACAGAAGTGAGATGTTATCAATGTGTTCTGTTGTCTCCAAAACACTTTACTTTCTGACAATCGTGACCGGATCTCCTTCGCAACCAAATTAAATTTCACACTTCTGGCGTAGGGTCGCTCGAGCCAAGTACGTTTGCCGAAGACGACCATAGGATGCAGTTTGAAGCTACAAAGAGTTCATCTTTGAGCTGAGATTTAGTTATAACACACATGCAGAGGATCAACACATATACACATACATGTTGGAAAACCAAACAACACGATTATATTTTGAACTATGTTTTGATTTGATTCACCACATAGACTAAATTTAGATGCTCTCATTGATCAATATAGCCTGATAAAATGCAGAGTGACAAACACACCTCTTTAGGTCCGCTTTTTTCACATCAACAGGACCGTCTCTCTCAACTGCTAAAACCGTAAAAACTATTTAATGTCCACACCATTTCTTATCGACGGTCCAAAACTTGGATTATCACAGTAAATATCCTCCATTACTCTGCTGAGAACTGTCAGCGCTGAATAATGCAGGAGGCTACGCTGCACTGTGGGTGTGGATTCGATGCGTCATTTGGCTGCTGTGGGAAGATCGCTTTGTTTATGTCAGCAGTTACGGGAGAAGATCAACAGCTTTCCCTGTTTAGTGGTCCTATGAACTACAGAGCAGCCTCAGCACCGTATTGATTCCCTTTAAAGGCGAGCTGCTACTTTCAGTTTAATATGCTGTAATTGCAAACTCCTCATATCTGCCGTTTATTTCAGACCTCCCTCTCTGGTGGTGGCAGACTTTGGTTGTGGCGACTGTAAAATCGCGCGCAGCGTGAAGAACAAAGTGCACAGCTTCGACTTGGCCGCCGCCTGCGATCTCGTTACGGTCTGTGACATGGCCAACGTGAGTGTCGTTTTCTTTTTTTTCCCTGCACGCCAATCCTCCACTTCCGTGCGATTGTTAGCAAACGTAAGGCCTTCCCTCTGTGCAGGTGCCGCTTCGTGGCGGCTCCGTGGACATCGCTGTGTTCTGCCTTTCTCTCATGGGGACCAACCTGGCCGATTTCCTAGCAGAGGCCAACCGCGTGTTAAAGAGAGGGTGAGATATGTCACTGATTTTGTAAAAGCAAGAATGATGACGATGCGCATGTACAGCACATGTCTGGACAACCGATTTGCACAATTATTGCAGGGGTGTCCTGAAAATAGCAGAAGTGGCGAGCAGGTTCGAGAACGTGCGGGACTTTGTCACTGCGCTGACAAGTCTGGGATTCAAGATGTCGACCAAGGTGAGACAACAAAAGTCCTTATTGGTCTTTCTCATACATAGACCAAATTGACGCATACAAATGAAATGCTTACTCTAATAAAGCAAACGGTTAGTGTTGCATGCACAAAATATGTTCCGTAAATTGGTTTGTTGTTTGCAACAAACATCCAAGATAACTGTAAGATATATGTAAGTTGTATGTACATTTCAAGGCTCAATCTTAAGATCTTAACCATACCTTAATCTATCTGATGTGAATATTTGGAACTGACAGAGTGGTTTGTGTTTTCTTTTCTTGTCTCGCTATAGGTCACAGAGGGCACTCATTTCTACTCCTTTGAATTAGTGAAGGTGCAAGATGCTCCAGATAGCATAAAGAAATTTGGACTGCAGTTGAGGCCCTGTCTCTACAAGAAAAGATGAATGTATGTGGCAGGACTTCATGGACTTTTGAAGCAGTGTGTTTGAATGTTCTGCTTCAATCTACCGTTTTCCAAAGCAGCAGTTGTACATTTGTGTCTAAATGTATTGTTCTTAATTGCCACACTTTCAAGCCTCTGTAATTCACAGATTTGACAGCTGAGTTTTCTGCATTAATTGTACATTGTTTTTCATACATCAATGTAGATATGAGCTTATCAGTAAGACATTTTTTATTTCAAAGAAAGCCTAAACATATGCAGGCTACCATTTTAGTAAAGTTCATCCTGTCGAATAAAAAATAAAATTTACTCTTAAATGTTTCATGACTGTATGCTTTACAGTGCAGGAGGACTGACTGACTCTTATTTTGATCTGAGAGGGACATTGAAAAGAAATAGATTTTTGATTTGTACTTTGTGGTCTAGAATAAAACCTGTTTTGCTCAATTGTGTGTGTGACAATTTGCCACAAGAGGGTGTAACAGTACTGTGTGTGTGTGTGTGTGTGTGTGTGTGTGTGTGGGGTTCATGAGCTGTAAGAGACTGTATTCATAGACTTAACTCTGGTTGCCACAGCAGGTGGTCCTCACTGATTTAGATGACCAAAGATATCACGAGGTTCAGATGGTGGGAGGCTACGGTTACAGTTATCTTTATCTGGAGATTGTTTTGGTCCAGTTACGTGGTAACAACTTGATACAAACAGCAATTTACATTTATATTAAAATGATTTTATTGACAAATACATTGAAGTAATACATTGAAATCATTCAAATTCATTAGGATTAAATCACATTTTAGTACATAAAAAGGATTATTTCACGTCTTATGCTAAAAATACACTGCAGTTCCAGCAAGCCTTTATCAATAGCTTTGTTCACAGTGCAAAGCAGAATGTCAATCAAAAGTCCTTTCATCTTCACACTGTACTCTTGATGTCAAAGACAATGGAGTAGCTGACCATCGGACCATATTCCTCGCTTTTGTTTTCCGTCACTGCTGACTTCTTTACCTCAGGGGAGCCGGGCTCTTGCATCAGAGATGTCAACGCAGCGAGAGACTCCTTTTTCTGAATTTATATATATATATATAAAGAGAGAGAGAGAGAGAGAGAGAGAGAGAGAGAGAGAGAGTCAACTGGTTGAGGGACTGCTGTTTTTAGATTTGGATAATAGAAAAATAATATTCCCAATGAAAACTTTTTTTTTTCTGAAGGAAAACAAGCTTTCATCTTAACTGGATTTGGTCTTACCTTATAATGGGACCGGCTATGTATTTTGCTGTAAAACAACAAAGAAATAATTTATGTGAATTATTGACTTTTTTTAAAGGAGATTGTAGTGTTGAACTTTACCACTAGATGGCACTGTGATTTAACCTGACAAACAAGTTGCAGGCGTGACCGCGTTGTGCTTCAGGAATATGGATGGAAACAGCGAGGGGTGACCTGAGCCCTCGCCATTGATCTCACGTCAGACGCAGCAGCTAACTTTGTACACGAGGACCTTAGAGACATCAACGCAACGAAGACCCGCGGCCGTCAAAAAAAGTGTCCCCAGTACTGGAAGAGAGGTTGCAAAGGGGGGTTGACGGTGTTTCCAAAATAGCTTTTCTCCTGGGGAGTCATGTTTTCGCCTGTTGTACGTCGTGTGACTGACCTTCCCAAATTAGCCTGACAGGACCCGCCCATCACAGCCGGGGATAAGAGCACAATGGCACCTTGACTAAATGTTCTGACCAGAGAAGTGGGCCTACTGAGGCAGCTTCTGAACTGCTGTTGTGCTTCACTGTGTGGCTTCATTTACATCCAGGCCTGAACTTAGATTTGGCAGCGAACAGGAAATATGTGGAAAGTTCTGCACTCAGAAGCCATTAAACGATTCTAGGGTTGTGAGAGATGTCCCACATCAGTCGTAAAAGACGAGTGACACGCTGAAGAGATGGGTTTTATTTCTTTCCTCATGGTGACTGGCAGTTTGAATTTTATTATACTTCTGAAGTAGTGGACTTGTGAACTTTTGACCTTTGCTTTCTTGATGTGGCGTTGGTCCATAATTGGCCCAACAAACAGCAGCCGACTGCTGAAAGTGCCAGAAATAACACTGCTAAAAGCCAAAGCAGGAAACTGGAATCATTAATCTGTTCATCTACAATGTGTTACCTGTCTGCAAAACAGGGCTGCGGCGCAGAGGCAGCTGTCTGCCTTCTGCCACACTGCTTCCTGTTTGTGAATAACAGCATGAGATTGGGGTTTTTTGGTCATTCGGGTTAACGATCCGCGCATCCTGTTTGTCTCGTGTTCTGTGCCACCGCCAGCGCCGTTCTCACTGGTCTACGCGTCACCTGCCGTGCTGCAACCACCGTTACCTGTGCAGGTGATTAACTCACCAGCACACCCAGGAGGTGAGGACGAGGACGAGGGTGCCGGCCAAGGCCGAAGAAAGGCCGACGACTACAGCAAGAGCTAAAACACACACACGGACACAGTTGTTAAAGCCACGAATGTATTTTTTTTTAAAGTCGCAGCAAACTTCATAATGAAAAGCATTCCTCAGCATGTTGATGCGATCGGAATGTACTGAGTACACAAGTCGCTCTGATTGTAGATGAACAAACACAATATGGTCCGTACTCACCGAGCTGCTGTTTCTCGCTGGTGAATTCCACTTGAATGTGGACGGTGGCCGTGTGGTGATAAAACGACGCCCGGCAGCTGTACAGGCCTTCATCCCGCTCCGTGAGCCGGGACTGGAAGACCATCGCATCACCCTCCATTTGGGCAAATGCGCCATCGCTCCTGTAACACAAGTCACTTTGAGCTGAATTTGTCTCAGAAGGAGCATTTTATATTTTTCTCATTCCGAACAAATCACTCACAAAGACATAATCCAACGTTATATGAGTCAGTGCTTTAAACTCTGTTTACAGCTCATCTGTTCCAACACTTTAGACATGGATGTTGGAGTTTGCGCCATAATATGAAGTTCAATTTGTTTGTTAACTTGTTTGTCGAGTACATCACTCTTATTTTTTTTTTGAAAAGTTATTCAAATACATAATAGGAGTACATGTGCATTAGTTGGGGTCTATTTCCAGCTGTGGATTTGAACACGTTTGGTCTTCTGGTGAATATTCACAAGAGAATGTGTGTGTGTGTAGTTTTACCCAAAGGGCTGCAGTACCCACATTGATGGGATTACAAATTATCTCTAAACCTAAAGTTATTCTGGGTGATATGCCTGTCATGGAAACATCTCCAGGCTGATAGCTCTTGGTGTGATAGCTCCTTACAACTGGGAAAAGCCTTCATGTTTTACTGTACACTGTGCGCACAGCTGCCTCCTCATCAGGTGGTAGATAACGGTGGCTGCATCACCTTTCACAGACGAGGTTGTACTCTGGCACGTTGCCTTCGACTCGGAGCAGCACTCTTTGGTTGTGATGGTTTTCCTCGAGAGCCAGTCTACGCGTGATGGTTTCACCAACGTAGCGGCTTTGCAGACGAGTCGTGTGATTTAAGACTCTGACGGAGGAGATATCTGCAGAAAAGCCCATTTAACCATGAAGCTGAACCTTGAATCTACATATCGCAGAATCAATTCACGTGAATCACTAAATTTGGTGCAACTTTAATGTGCAGGTATCGATTCTAAACTCACAGTATCTGGGGATGTGAATGGTCTTTTTCTCTGTCACTCCCCGTTCCAAAAGATACGCACAGGTCAGGTCCTGCCCCTCATGAAGGGCCAGAGGAAACTGATAAGTCAGCCTGGCTTTGATGACACAGCCCTCATGCTCTGAATGCAGGGATGTTTGGCCTTTGGCATTCTCGGGAAGGACCCAGGCGAGGTCAGGCCCAACGCCCCCTCCGCTGTAGTCACACACCGCCAGCCAGAGAGGAGACTCCTGCTGTCTCACCAGAGACACAGCCAGCAGGGGGGCTTCTGCAAAAGAAAACAAGGGGTGACAAAGAGGAAGAGGATAAGCAGCTGCGTGAGTTAGTATGAGTCACAGATTGAAGAAAGAACTCACGCACTGTTCAAAAGAATGTGCATTGTTCTTTTTTCTGGTGCCTCCAGGCTTGGATGCTCCACTGTGCAGGTCACATTCTGACCACAACACGAAGATGACGGGACACGCGCGGAGCTCCGGGCCCGCACCGAACCATCGGGCCGGACCTCAGTCGCAGACAGGTAACCGATGCTGCTGCTGTTTCCAACATGCCACCTCACGGTTGCTGCCGGGGCAACGCTCTCCACGGAGCAGTCCACCTTCGTGAACTCTTCGCCGTCCGTCCACTCAGTGCTCGAGTTGATGGTGATTTCGGGGCGGGCTGCGTGGGGAAAGAAGGAGTTTAAAACACCACAGGAAGCCAGGGGGTTTCTTTTGAGAAGATAAGAAAGATAACATGGAAATCGGACCGCGCTTGTGCGGCCAAAAAACGTCCGCTCCTCAGACAAAATTTGATTTGATTTGTCGAACATACCGCAGGGAGGGAGGGTGATGCTTCTGTTCGCCGGCCCCTCGAACGCCGGGTGATTTATTACACACTCTGCGGTGAGCTCCCAAGGCGAGCAGGCAGGGAGGAGTAAAACTCCCCTGACGGAGTGGCTTCCATTATGAGAAGTGAAATTGAACCAAGAAACTCCAGACGAACCCTCTGGTAGAAGCCAGGACATGTTGGCTGCAGGTACAGCATCTGCTGCTGAGCACTCTATCAGCCTGTGTCCGTCTTCAGTCCGAAAGTCTACTCCAATTGTTGGAGCAACTGGGAGGAGAGAAGGTTCCATGTTGATGTCTCACGGTCACGCGATGTGGAAATGTGGCCCGTGAAAGTCTTTTAAGAAGAGTTTCACCTACCAGGCAGCATACGTTGAGGTTTAACTGTGACACGGATCGTCAGGTTTGCTTTAACGTGGTGATAGGAGAAGAAGCATTCGTACAGGCCGGCGTGCTGAAGCTCCAGAGGACCCTGAAGAGTGAGGCTGCTGCCAAACAGCTCAACACCGTCAGGCAAGGGGCCGTCGTCTCTGGAGGGAAATACAAGTAAGAATACAAAGAAGACTCCATGTTTCAGTTGTAGTGTATCACCCGAGGTAGAAAATATGACTCTCAGTCAGGAAACGAGTTGGTATCTGATTCCTGCCGTCTGTCACCTGTGGTTTGGTGCCACCAAACGAGTCAACACATCCTCACAAGGTACACATCGTTTCCCCATGTTGTTCTCCTTTTTTCTCAAGATAAAAAGAAAACCAGACCGAACGGAAAAACAAGAGAACTAAAGAAAAAAAAAGAATAATAAGTACAGTTACGGGTACTTTTTGCAGGTAACGTTGTAATGTGGCACGTTGCCAGTGACGGGCAGGCTGATGACGACGTCCGTCCGTCCTTCCTGCAACTCTAAAGGTTCAGCCGCTCGGAGGTCATCACTGTCGCTTCCCACCTCTGACAAATCTGCATAATAATAAAGCACATTTTTATGAAACTTCTACCTCCGGAGGATCAGCCAAGTCATTTCAGGTGAGACACTGCTAATACTCACAAAAAGACGGCAGCGCTATGACACGTGTCACATGGTGCGTGAATTTGGGGTGGTCAAAGGCGCAGGTGATATTGTGGCCCTCATATACCGTTACAGGGAGGAGAACTGAACTCGTCTGCATGTGTGAGTTCGTAACGTTCTCTCCCTGCAGCTCTTCGCCGCTGTCCAAAGCCAAGGCGATGTCAGCGTCAGGTCTCCCTCCCGATGAAATGCACGAGACCACCCAGAACTCCACTCCTCCTTTCTGCACCATCTCTGCTTTTACGCTCACGTTCGGCCTCGCTATTAGAGCGGGAAGAAAGGCGAAAAGAGTTGTTTTTTTCTCTCTCTCTCGAGTGTCTGACGTTTCATTCAGCAAATCTAAAAGTCACATATGAAATGGAGATTCAGGGTGTTTTTGTTGAATAGGAAGCCGGGGGCCGGATGAGCTTAGCACAAGCCGTACAGGGCTTCGGCTCGGGCTTTGGAGAGTGCTGACTCAGGCACCTGTCCCATCTGTTGGCTGGGCTGCAGCTGAGAACAGATTCCAGCTGCTCGCCAACAGACGTTGAGAGAATCACGGGCTTTAATGCAGGGAATCAGCAGAGATCAGAGTCTATTATCAAATACACAACGGTTGTGGTGTCACACAGCACCCAGCCGTCCTCAACGAGAAAGAGAAAGAGAAGCGAGCTCGCGTGTTAGGGAGGGGTATGTGCTATTAAAGTGAGTTTAAGCACTTTGGCTCTAAAAATGTCATCCATCGACGCCTATAGTTTATTGTGAATTTAGCCACTGCAGCTGGAAAATGACTGAAGCTGCGCAGCTTCAGTGGGGTGTGAATGTGTCACGGACAAATGAGCTGGCTGGCAGGGCTTGTGCTAATGGGATATTTACATCGTGCAGCTTGCCATAGATGCTCTGCACTTCCCATGGTTCCCTTTGAAAAAGGAGGGCGTTTAAATGGTGAGATGCAGCACCACATAAGTGCATTTGCTTGGTTTGTTACAAGTGACCTATTTTGTCTGTTCTGTGCCAGAGACACAGGAACCAGAGCCACGCTGGGTGGTTGAACTTGAGCCTTGCTGGGTCAGTTAGAGTGAAAACCAAACTTCTGACAGATTCTTTTTACTTGCTCTTTCTTGCCAGCCTGGGTGACTGATACATATGCATGTATGTGTGTACTGTATATATAGTTATATATTTAAATTGGTATAGCCACGTGAGGGCAGCAGAAACACGTCAATGCAAAATGTATATATATATATATAGATTGTGTGTTAAAGTTCTAAACGTTGTGGGAGTGAGGGACATGAAAGGTTTTTACTCACACATGAGCAGTTTGTGAGAAAAAAAATCAAATTTCACGAGAGAAATGTATTCATCAAAATGCACGCTGATGGTATTAATTACTCACTGGCATATTGCTGCATTGTGGTGTTCCATATGCTTGACGTCAGTGAGAGAGAGCATTCCCACGTTAATAAAGTGCATTGTGTGATTTATGGTCTGTCGTTGTGTATGTGGAGCAGAGTGGGAAGCAATGGCCAGTGTGAAAAATCAGCAGAGGAACCTTATTGTATTGTGAGATGCTGAGTCATGATGCATGATCGCAAAACTGAGACTGCTGAATGCGGCAGACAACGTGTCCCCCTCCAACAACACGGACACACTCGGTGGTGAGCGTGAGCTTACTGTAGGTTTCCACCCTGGCCGAGGTGAGTTTTGGTTCCGGCAAGGTTTGGTGATGGACCACACAAGTCACGCTGTCCTCATCCTGCAGGTGGGTGGGGAAGCGCAGGATGCTGCTCACTGTGTAGGTGCCGTTTGAGTGAACACTTTCACTCACTTCCACAGCAAAAGGGTCATGGGACGGAGGAAGGCCGGCGACCAACCAGCTGATCTGAGGTCTGGGCCTCCCACCGGCCGCGGAGCACGACACCGACTGGTAATGGGAGCCGTTGATGGTCTCTGCCTTCACCAGCATCTGTATGTCAGGCCGGGCTGTGAATGAATGCAGTAAACATGTCAATGTGCTTGGACAAGACATCGGCGTGTCTTTGGTCAAAGATTGATTATCCCCATATTAAATCAAAATGCAATTCGACCATTTAGAATTATTTTAAATTATGGAAATCCCATTAGGATCATTCTTTCTCACTGTGGAGATGCAAAGAAAATAATAGGTTGTTGGATTGACTTACCTACTACAGTGAGATGTACACTGCCGTAATACGGCTCTTCCTGAGCCTCAAACTCACAGATGTATTCTCCTTCCACTTCTACACTGGACACTTTCATCTTAACTGTGAGGTTGGTGAGAGAGTCCGGCTTTGAGATGCCATCGCGGCTAAATGGCTCGCCATTAAAAAATCCGGCCAGTCGCTTGGATTTCATTTTGGAGTTGATCTGGCGTTTCCACTCTGCGTCCTGGATCTCACTCTCACCCACGTAAGTACAGCTCAGGTAGACGTCCTCCCCCAGGACTGCTGTGATGTTTTCATGGATCCTCTCTCCAACCAGACCTGTGACACACAACAGTGAAACCTTCAGTCCCAATGAGGTAATAAATTCACCTGAACGCCCCTCAAACTGCAAACGCCAGCAGAGCAGAAATGTTTGAGGGACGCGGCGTGATTGTCCCCGACAGATAGCATGTTGATAGATGTCCTTTGTTGAGCTCTTTCTTCTCATCCTACCGGCTTTCACTAGTTGAGCGGAACTGTGATGGATGAGAACGACTAACCGGCTCAGTGGTGACGGGGTTCTCGGTCATTTTATCATTATTAGAATGTGTCAATGACTAATCAACAAAAACCAGGGTGAGGGTCTCCAGCCATGCAAACCCGCTGACAACAATGCTGACACACTCATGTCTGGCAGATAACGTTAGACACCTTCACTGTCGGGCAACAACTGGCAGACGGTTCCGTCCGTGCTGCTAGCGTGGCTTTCCAACACAGAGCTTTGGCTCAAAAACGCTAATAATCAAAGGACTGTAAAAAGGGATTGACGTTGTGCACACAATGACACTTACAAAATCCAACCTTGGCCCCACAATGTATATTTATCAGAGGACTCCATTATGTTAATGAAATGAAAACAGTCCAAAAGCTACGCCCTAATCCATCCATCCACCAACAACCCTCCACACTGCTCAGAACTGAGCCACAGCAAGAGGAGGTTTCCGTAGAGCCGATGACGGGTTTTTAACACTTGCAGAAAGAATAGTGTGCAATGCATGCAAAGCTCCATAATTCTTCTTCCTGCAATGACTTCATCAAAGTGCACTTGAGGACACGGTATGGCCCATGAGGCAGCTGAAGCAAAGAACCTCGGCTTTAGGTACACGATGAGTAAAATAATGATGCTGCTGTGCGGCATGGAAAACCACATAACTTACAGCCGGCCGCTGCAGTAGAAACTCAGATGTTTATATCAAACACGGTGAAAGCTGAAACGATGTTGGTCTTACTATAGATCACAGCAAATGGAAACAATGTGGAGAGCCTTTTAAGAGGGAAGGACACACAGGGAGAGAAATAAATATGCTGCATCATTTCAATCATGCCTTGTGGGTTTATAATTCAATTGCCCTTGCAGGTGTTTGCCAAACTAAATGCCAGCCAACCACGTAAAAGGAACACCTTAAGAATAGGGACTAAGTAATAACTGAGAGAAAAAAAAAGATTCATGCATTGCACCATATTTTCTGAGCCCCAGAGGCTTCTTTTTTTTCTCACCAAACAGCAGCCGTTCACCAGTGGTGCAAAGCAGGTATTTCTTCACAGACTGGGGATGTGGTAAACAAAGAAGACTTTCAACTTTGAGAAACAGCTTTTTTTGGTTTTCAAACATTTTTAGACCCAGAGACAGCAGAAGCAAAGAGAAAAACAACAAAAACATTGAGTAGAAAATCTGAACTCTAGACTGCAGCGGGTTTCTCCTTCGCTCAAAAGAAAACCTTAACGGCCCTCATATATTAACTTTTAAAGGCTGTAAAGGGAACTAATGTGGTTTTAGGTGACGCCCTTACTAAATAATGATGAAGTGACAGCTGGAGTGACAATGCGAACTTGCCCGTCAGCGAAATACTGCAAAAATAGTTACCATTTAGGGTGTTCAAGATACATGCGGCACGTGGCTTTATTGCCTAGGTGCCTTGGTAATTGGACTCATCACATAGGAAAACCAGCAGCACTGTTTAGTGTAACTGCCACAGGTTAAACACGACCTTGAGGACCAGTAAAATAAGCCCATAAACAGCTGACAGTCACAGACAGATTGTAACCCTGCAGACTTACCCATGATTTCCAAGCAGTGAGCAACATTTAGGACAAAAAACCAAACAAACAGCCCTGAGTGTCCCATGCTGGCGTCATTGAGTGAAACACAGTCGGATTGATCTGACAGTATCTAAGGCAAAAAGGTATTTAAAGCCTGTGTGTGTGTGTGCGTGTGTGTGTGTGTGTGTGTGTGTGTGTGTGTGTGTGTGTGTGTGTGTGTGTGTGTGTGTGTCTTGTGGTTTATGGTTATGTGTATACACCCTCTACAGCTGAGACCGATGTTTTTACCTTCTTGGGTGCACGTTTGCTGCACACCCATATCTGGTCCATAAGCTCACACACATACACACACATACTCTCACACACACACACACACACACACACACACACACACACACACACACACACAGTAGGATTTGTCAGGTTTGTCAAACCGCTTCTCCATTTTGCTTTTCTGAAACAATAAATGGACTTCTGTTTTTTTCTTCACTGTGTAATTTCTCCAAGTCGCCATGCGCTGTGTCTGTTCAGTTACTCAGGCACCTCATATAGCAGGGCGCCCCAGCAAGTGGTAAACCATACATCACCCACACCGTCCTGTCCCTGCCGGGGCACTCGGCGACAGCCCGTCTGCAGTTTGGGAAATCACTCACTTCTGTGTATTGTTTTATTACATAATGTTCCACTAATTCACTTTGAGTTAGTGCAATTTTTTTTTTTCGACAAATTTGTCACCCTGCAAGGAAGTCTCCAGTCAGAAACAAATGTGGGTGAGAAAGCATATTTTGCACGGGGCTCAGCATTACACAGCATTTCAGGCTGGTCTATGAGGGGGAGGTTAAGTTTAGTTTTTAGTCATCGAGACCACAGGATGATGAGAGTGAATGAAATGACGCTGCAGATACAATTGTTTTTTTTGTGGTCTGTAACGACTTTTGAACCAGCTGGTTTAAAACTATGAGCTGTAGTGACTTAATCCCTCAAGATGTAGCTGAGTTTGGAGAAGGAGTCAGTGCCTTACTGTTTGTGTTTTACTGACCTAGACTTGTTAACATTTCATAAACAAGGTACCTATAGATTTCACTGATGTCCAATATTGTGTGTGCATTACAGTAATGCACGGGCGAGCCAACCTGTGAAGGTTGCTTGGTAACCTATTTAACTCTGTGGGACCGTATCATCCCAGCTCACTGATCATCTGCACCATCTCTTCCATGTGTTATTTATTTAAAGAGTTATGACACTCCAGCCCCGCCCACACATGAGTTCCACACTGACAGAAAGATTGATTGTCACTATTTATGTGAATCACTTCACACAGCTGGCGTTTGTATACAGATGGAAATGAATAAATAGAGAATTAGATCGGAACCATATAATTACCATCAGCTTGCACCTCTCGAGCTTAATCTTAAAGCCCAATTTAATACCATTCACGTTTGAAATTCACATGTGTGGTCTGCGGCACCGAGAGAGGGCAGAAAGTCTTGTTGGAGACAAAATGATTCTACTATCATCGATAAAGACATGTTGTATTATTGAATATTCACATTTAAAAAAGAAATAAGTTGCAGTTTAATCAGGTTTCCCCCCCGCTTTTCGCTTATTATGCTAAGCTAAGCTAACGTCTGATGGTACTAAATCCAAATAAACATCAAGGTGGTATCACTTGTCTCATTGCACCCTCAGCGAAAAGACAAATGCATTCAATTCAGTACTGCATAAAATATTTATAAAAACAGTTTGGTCGTCATTATTTTCCGGGATAATGTTTCTATTTGTTATTTGTTTTAGAATAGTTTGGTATTAATTAATTAGAAAGGAAGTTTACAAAAGGTTTCATCAAATGATGCATTTAAGGACACGACTTTTGTGAATCCATTCACAAAACACCCTGACCTTGTTTTGAAAAGTCCATAATGAATCATCTCATGACTGTTCATGTGTCGTTGTGTGACAGCCTCTAAGTGCATCTCTTAACAGAGTACGAGAAGAAGTGAGAGAAAACATTCAAGTTTCTCACGTTGAGAAGTTGTGATTCTTGATTAATCACAACTGTTCTGATTCTGATTCTACTGTGCTTTTATAGCGCAAGGTGACTCACACTGAAATATTGATTGTTGTTTCTTTCCTGAAAGGTCATCAACCGCATTCACACTGGCACTTCTCGCGATGCGCTAGGAAATCCCGTGGAATTTTGTCTTTATCTGATCAATCTCCAGTGGGCTTTAATGGCTGGGGCAGTGAGTGCTTAATGGTTACTTGGTTCACGGGAATCACTCAAACAGTGATGTGCAGTCTTGGTGATGATGCATGTGATGTTCAGGTCATGAGCCATTTATGTACTTTAACTGTTGAGGTCGAACTGCTGAGTGCTTAATGGTTATTTAGTTGATGCAAATGATTCAAAGACACTCATGGAGAGTGGAGAGGGGAACCGGCTTATTACAGTAAGTAGCGCATCGAGCTTGAAAGAGGGTTTATGATAAATGACACTGCTTCAGGGAAGTGGAGCTCTTTTTCTCAGGCAAAAATCCAAAGTGAGCCCAGCCAACTGAACCCGACGCTTTGGTGGCTCGTGTGAGGACGGGTGGATTCGTCTCGTTCCAGGGGTGAATAAGCGAAAAGTGAGAATGTAAGTGAAATGGACGGCAGATGGCTCTGGTTCGTGCACCGGTTGTTTGGGACGTGCTGAGCATGGCAGGCCTTGTGCACCCCTCTGGACCTGGCAACCCGTCCTGGCAACCGTCTTGGCTTCAGACGTCTGTGCTAATGCAACCTGTACAACTCCCATCAGGGGAAGGGTCAGTTACTGAAGCCCATCCAAAGAAATTAAGCCCTTCAGGCTGAAATAAAGTCTTCAGAACAGAAATATTATTATATTATATATGATTGTCACCATCAATGACGCATTAAGGAAATATGATATGTTGATATATGATGAATACTTACCTGGTTTTCATGAACGAAACACAAAGCTTCATCGTTGTTTTTGCAGAACCAAAAGGCCACACCCAAGTAACCACTGAAAACTCACTCACTTTGTGTGAGCTTTTAGGACAACTTGAAATTTGAAAGATCTACACAAACGTTCTGAGTTAAAATATGGGTCTGAAAATGTATTCGCTCATAGAGACCTCTTGCTTTTACACAGACAGCAAGTCAATACAAAATGATGCAACCGGCTGCCGGATCGGCACAACTTTCCGTGAGATCAACTTTCTCAGGTCGTGAAGCGTTGGTGGATGGGTTGGGTTCTCAGAGGTAGTTTTCATCATCTGACAGTGGTGACAACAGGAAATGAGGGGCGAGAGTAGAAAGAGAGGAAATGACACAAAAGGTCCCTCGATGGACTCAATACATTCAAGGTTAGCAACTTAGCTCCCAGCAGTCACTTTTCTATGATTAAAAATGCGGTAGTTTCAGTCTGTTAAAATGATAGATTAGCAGTTTTTGACACCAGAGGCTTGAGTTAAAGGTAAGGGGCGAACCGACCAGGTGTTTATAGGCAGCGTTATATAGCCGGCACCTGGCGCCAATCTAAAATTCAACCACACTAGAGGAAGTGTGACCCTATAGCCTGACCTTACAGCAATATACAGCAATATGCACAGAAACAAACAATACAATCATTCAACTACTTTCTCTCTTACTATATTATTATTTTATGCACGCATATTTTATAAAAGTTGTCCTAAAGTAAAGAACACCCTCCACTCATCCACCTGGTATCTCCCAGAGTCTTAAGATCTGAACAACATTGCCTTTGCCCTTTAATAGAAATTGTGAGTTTTCCTCCACGGGGAAAGGGCCTTCAAACCACAAAACAAACCACATCATTAATGCACATAAAATACACAGCGCCACCTACTGATTACATTTTCTACATCCTGAATGACGGGCACATCGGCTGCTCGTAAGAAGGCAGAAAAAGAATGCTAATACTTGATTATGCACGACACCAGATTATGGTCTGTTTAAGTGTTTGTGGGGGTGAAAAACAAACAGCTATTAAGATTAAGAAGTGTGTGGCAGCAAAAGCACTTAGTGAGAGTTTGTGTTTATGGTTTAATAAAAAGGCACATGTTAACTGCCAGTCTGTGGTGAGAAACAATCTATGACCGTCCTGCATGAAAGTCAGTGCCACCCGCCCACGCAAAATAAACAATGAACCCCTCCCTGCGCTGGCACTCAGCCGTGGCACTGGATTTTAATCACGAGGTGTGGATTCCTCTAATATGGACACTAAGGGTCCAGGAAAACACAGCCATGCATCTGGCAGTCTGATGTTGAATAAAAGCGTCCCTTCATATTCCGATTTCTGCCGCGGCTGCATGCGTGACAGGTTTGCACACTCTCTACTGTGAAAGAGAAATTACTGCCGTTTTGGAGACGCCGACCAGAAGTTATAAACGAGTTAAAGATGTGGCTTTCGTTGACAGCAAGCGTTTAATTAAAGCATTGTGCGATAATGAGAGTTCAGCTCCTCTCAAGCTTGCACTGCATTAAACTCAGCTGACACAACAGAAAATTCACATGCAACCTTAGCCCGGGGGGGGGGGGGGGCAAATTACCCTGGCATAGGCGAGGCAGGGACTGTGCAGAAAGGAGAGCAGCAAATCAATACAGTTTTATAGACCTGAATCATGCCTAAATGTTCCTTCTTAGCTCTGCTACTTCCATCTTCCATCTTTCTCTTTCATGGAGGTTGAGAGGTGGAGGGAGGCGACAACATCCTGACTGCTGTGATGGAGATGACTATGCTTCTATTAGTTGATGTGTCTCCGTTCTGCCAGTGGATGTGGTTTGGTTGCTTCCAGAGCATTTCACATCGCTCTGTGCACGTTCAGGTTACAAATGCAAAAAAGAGAAGGGAGTGCTTGATGTCAAGTTTGTGCAACAGGCTTGTGTTCAGGGTTCCAGATCAGCGAAACTCATGGCTGCCATCTATAGGCACATCTGATATGGTTTGAAAGTGTTAGAGGAATAAAAATAGCGGATATATAGAAATGCATTTTAAAAGATGTAAAACATGAATTAAAGTCGTGTCTTTTTGTCTAGACATTGGGAGGGATTTGAGGTTCAAATATATTTAAATTGATTATATACATTGATTCTCATAGTGGGAAATATTATACTTTCATGTGCATTTGTTGTTTCATTAAGATGAATCCTAC